GTATTTTTTCTATTTTAAGTTGGTACACAGGGAAACATAGAACCAAGTAAGTATACATTTATAATTTAATTATGTAATTATTCTTGATTTTTCCTTTATATATATACTTATCTATTATATCTTATATTAGAATCAATGTAGCACATTTAGAAAGCATGGCAAAAATACACTCTTTTTTAATTACAAATGCACAAAGTGAATTGAAATTTGTTAAAACAGAAGTTTCACAAGAACAATTATCAAATACATTTGATGAAATAGCAAATGCTATAATCAATGATGATGAAATGTTTCAAAATGATGATAATGGAGATAATTTAGTTTATGATCCTGATGATAGTGATGAATGTTTGGACATAAGTGAGGAAAATACTTCATGTTTATACATAGGAAATTTTATTGACTTAAATCATGAATTATTAACAAATAATGTTGATAATGATTTAACTGATGAATTTGTTGAACATGGTGATGTTAATTTTGATATTGATGAAATATTAAATAGAGTAGAAAGTTAGATAAATTTTTTTTGGACCTTTGTATTTTTATGGTTTTTTTATAACAAATTTACAATAAATTTTTGCTAACAATGTGTTTTATGAGACAATAAAAGAATATATCTGTTGCTTTGATCTGTATATAGTATTATTGTCCATTTTGGGATTTGGGACAGCTTTGGGATTTGGGACAGCTTTGGGATTTGGGACAGTTTTGGGATTTGGGACAGTTTTGGGATTTGTACCACTTTTGGGATTTGGGACAGTTTTGAGATTTGTACCACTTTTGACATTGGGATTTGGGCGTGGGATTTGGGATTTGGGATTTGGGATTGGGACTTGGCCTTTTGAGTTTGGGCGGCAAGTATAACCACAAGCACGCAAATAAATATGTTGTGATACGTAACTTTTAGACTACCGCATGTAAATTGTGATACAATAAAATTTCCATAATATTTTTCATTAGTTTATGATTATTCTCTAACTTTGATAATAATAATAAATGTGACATTGTAGTCATGAAATCAAATTTTAACAAAATTGTGTCAATCAAAACTGTTATTTTTTTAAATCTGTACATATTTATAATAAATGCAACCAAACTTATTAATGCTATGAATTTACAGTATTAAATAATTTTGAATAAAAAAAAAAATTACAAGATTATTTATAGTAAACCATCAGCGAAGCTGACCGGGTTACACCTAGTTAAATAAGTATACGGAACGTAACGCGAATATAAATGATAAATAAATAAGAGAATTGCTATTTCTCACCGGTGGTGATTGTCACCACCTAAGGAATTAAATTTGCGTGGGGCGGAGTTAGGGTTGGGGTTAATCATAAATTGTATAATCCTTAGGTGGTGACCAATCACCACCGGTGAGAAATAGCAATTCCCAATAAATAATTATACAAGTTAAATAATAAATAAAAATAGAATAAAGATAAAAATAAATTAATGAAATTAAAAATAATTTATATAAAGTAATAATTAAAAGGTTCGGCCAAAATATCTGCGTTAAAGTCTAATTTCTTGATAAAATTAAAAATCAGCCAGCAGGGCCATTTAAATAAATTGTTAATCATCATTAGTAATAAGCAATCTCCATTTCAAATCCAATGTTGATTTTTCTATATAATGGAGATAATAACACCAATATTAATTAATTATATACTCGTACTATGTAAAAATTTTAAGTTTAATTTTTGTACATAAATTTTCCTATATAGAATATTCATTCTGAAGGCGAAAGCAGGTTTATTTTTAATAGAAAATGTGGAGCACGTTTACTAATTAAAAAAAGATAATTGACCGTGTTTGTGACTAAATTTTTACGTTTGACATTTTTTCTATTGTTATAAATAAATTTTATAACTATTTTACAAACAGCAGTCAATTATTTTTTTTAATTAGTGGTTGATAAACAATATGTGAATTAATACTATATATAATTTTTCTGATTTTTTAAAAAAAATGGATAATTATCATCACAATTATTTAAAGTCATTAAATTTATCAATAATAATTTTCAACTTATTTTTATTAAATGGTTTCAATGTTTTGGTTTCTGGTCAATTATTAGATATATATTCTCAAAGTTCAATAGTGTTAAATGATAAGCTCTATTATTTTGGAGGAGCTATTGACAGTATAAAATTTACAAATCAAATAATTTACCTAGATTTATCCACATCATTTTCACTTAGTCAAACATTACCAATAAATCATCAAACTGTCCCAAAATTAACAATACCTTCATTTCATAGTGCATCATTAGCATTAGGAGGAGTTAATAATGACATACTTTATGTTATAGCTGGATCTAGAGAAGAAGAACGTGGTTATGGAAAATCTGGATCTATAGTTTATTCAATAAATACAAATTCATTTGATACATGGACTCGAGAAGGCCTAACTGAACAATCACAATTAAATAAAGTTGGTCCAACAAGATATACAAAAGATAATAATGGAAACACATATATATTCACTGAAAAGGATTTGAATATATATATATTCAATTCCAAAAATTTGACATTTACAACCTTAACACCAAGTAATAGTCCAGATACAACAAGCATATTTAACTTCAATTGTCATCTGTGGAAAGATGGAAATATAATTTACCTTGATCTTTATTATGATGGTACAACAACTAAAGTAATATTCTTTTATTATTTAATTAAAATAAAAGGAATGAGAATATTATATTTTCTAATAATACATATTATGTTTAGATACACTTGTATAATATTAATCAAGATTCATGGTCTACTACTGTAAGTTATATAATCATCAGTAACAATATTTTCAAATAAAAGATATTAATAAATATTTGTTATATTAGACAGCAGATGGTGATGTACCTTCAATACGAGATGCATATTCTTCAGTATTAAGTAAATTGATTAATTTTATTATTAATTATTCAATTAAATATATTTTTTTAATTTATATTTATTTATTTTAGCATCTGATGGAAGGATAATTGTGTAT